ACCCAACAAATATTTGCTAAATAAAATTTTCACTTTTATTTATAGACCTTATTTCTCCCTCTATTTACAGATCCTCCTCTGGGTTGAGGGGTCTGGAATCAACTTTCCTGGTAAGAGCATTTTCAAGAGCTTTTTGTGTCAATATTTTCCCAGTACAGAGGAGTCTGCACTTTAGACTTAGAAGCAAGCAGTGGCTAGGAGGACTGTACCGGGGGTGGCCAAAATGACCTAGCAAGGCCTATGTAGTAATGCTAGATCATAAGTATCTTAGTGAATGTGCAAAGATGCAGACAATTTATACAGAGCTAACACATAAAGGTGCTCAATATAAACTTTTGAATTAGTAAATGAACATTAGTGGTTCTCAAACTTTGATGTGCATCAGAATCTTCTACAGAGCTTTTCAAAAATAAAAGATGCCTTGGCCCTTCTCCAGTCTGGAGACTGAAAGCCTTTAACCTTGTTTGTAAGTCAGTTGTTGACAATCGTATTAAATACGTGTGTAGTGTTTCATAGATACACAAAGCATTTCCTCAAATCCTTGTTTGATTCGGAGCCTAGGTTTTGGATCACATGGACTCTACATATATCCTCTGGAGGACCTTACACGTGGCCACCATCTACCCAGGGAAGCTCGGGAGCAGTGGGGAGCAAGAGAACCAGAGAATTTTGCCCGTGTGGCCATTTACCGTAACTCCAAGATGCTGGTCACGTTTCGAGAGGGAAAGATGCGCCGAATGTAATTAAAGTCGCCAACAAAGAGGCTCCCATCGACTCCGACGGCCAGGGCTACCGGGGCCAGCAGCTTGTTGCCTTCGGCGAGGCCATTGCAGCTGGGACAGGAAATGCTGCGGCGGCGGCCATTGCCCATGATGCTGGTGATGATGGCAGGCTGCTGAGTCAGGAACTGGTTCTCCCCGGTGCCTTTGTGCAGGATTCCTGGGGGGGCAGCAGATGGGAGTGGTTACTGCAGCCCTCTGGGGAGGACGCTGTATTGGCCCACTGAGGGTGAGGGCAAGTGACAGGGAGAAGAGAAAATTCAGGAAGCTCCAACCTCTGGGGAGCTGTCCAATTTCTTCACGATGCCAAGGGAGATGCAATGGTGGGGACCTCAAATGCTATGGTATTGGATAAGATAACGTGTGTGGGGATAACTGTAGAAGAATTGTGAGGTGCAATAAGGCTGATGCTCTGGGCAAATCAGTCCAACTTTCATTGATATTTAAAAGGAGAAGGTGGGAAAACTTATGAATATTTTTGGGCAGTTGATGAAAAATGGCTGAGGGAAGGGGAGGGGCTACTGCTTAAATGTCAAGGTCAGAGAAAATGTTCCAGAGAAGAGACGAAGCTGTATTTGGGAAAGGAGATGCACCCACATACCACTTTTCACATTGAGGATGTGGTGTTTGTCCAGGGACCAGCCGCCGAGGTTGGAAGGGTCCAGCTCAAATCCCTGAAGGAGGGCTGTCCTTTTTTCCCAAAGAATTAGACTGGGGCAGGTCTCATATTCAAACCCGACAGACACTGAAAGATAAAAGGAGGTGGCAGAAAAGACAGGGTTTACTTGATGACTCCAGAGCTCTCTAGTAAGAATGAGAAACACATGTTCATGGTAATACAAATTCTGTTCCAAAAATTTACTCTAAGAGGTGGGCTGATTGCTTTTCTCCTTGCGATTCCAAATATTAAATTCAGATTTTGAGTTGAACTCAACCTTGAAACTTTACACAGCAGTACTCTGTGGGGATAGAAAGACCTTTCCAATGAAAAGCTTGCTTTCAAAAATGACCCCAGTGACACGGAGGGAGGACAGGAATCATTTAAAAACCTAATACAGTTCTCCTTTAGAGATGGACAGGAGACTGTTTCTCTTAGCCTGATGTTCATGGCATGCATTTATTATATTACATGTTATGTATTTTTGCTCACTAGGAGAAAGGACTTTGATTCTGGGGGCAACCACTTGTATAAGTTAAAGACCTTTGTATGTTCACCCAAAATTCCAGAAAGTGCCAGGAGAGAAGGCATGAATGGGGCACAGCTTGCCAGGTATGTGGAGATTCAATGGGGAATAGAATGCAAAAACTGTTTGTAAAAATCCTGCATTTGCCACATGGACAAGTGGGAGGCATGAGATAAAGGACATTCATCCTAGCTCAGCTCCCACTCACACTTTCTTGTGGCTCCATTTTCCCCGTATGAAAAATGGGGTAAATGAAGCCTCAATTTCTCAGAGAGTTGTGGTAAGGACAGATGAGACAAAGTGCTGAGGTGCCATCCACTTTTAATTGGAACGCTGCTCTAGAAATATGAGGCATTGTTATTATTGCTGTTCCTACTACATTAAACTCTTAACTATGTGTGCCACCTTTGGGGATTCTCTGCAGCTTTTAAAAAATCCTGAGATATAGAAGTGCCGATATGAACAGAGGATGCATTTTATCTTTGAAAAAAACTACCCATATATTTTCTCACTTGTCCTCTGAAAATGCCAAGAAACAATGCCCAACCCAGTAGCAAAGAGAATTGCTAGTGCCCAGCCTGGGCTCCTGATATATTATTTCTCATTAAAAGGAATCAAGGCTCCTTGAAGGCTCCAAATGACTGGAGCAAAAAATAAACAAGATGAGACTAGATGATTTTATTATACTAGATAACAAGGAAAGCATCAAAATCTACTAGGGTCATGTCAAAAGGATTAGGGAGACAGCTTGAAGAGGCTCCCAGTGACCAAACTTGGCACCGTTTGACCATTGGTAAGGATAATCATTTCAATGAATCAAAACATACTAGATAGATTTCAATTCATGAGTTCAAAGTGGTATTTAAAAAGCATTAATTTGCCATCATTGGAGGATGAACCAATTCATACTGAAAACTAGTAAATAAAGGGAAAGAATCAAGCATTTATCCTTTCTTTCTTATTTGAACTGTGCTTCAAACAACCAAGTAGTTAATGAGAAAATGTCTCTCTGTAAAAGTATTCCAGCTGAAGATGTAGAAAACA